GACCATTTACTAGTACATGCATTTTGTGAATCCTGAATTTGTGACAAGACACACCTTAGTTTAGCACGTTGAACATGAATTGTGACCTATAACCATGTACTAGTTATGATCTGTGACATTTGAACATCTAGCATATGAGTGTGATTTGTGACCTATGACAATTTACTAGTTGTGAACTACATGATGTATGAATCCTGATGTTCTAAATACCTCGGTATCAACAGTTTTAATTGTTGTGACCACATCCGATATTACCGAATCGATATGCTTATGAATGTCTTTAGAATGTAAAATGTCAGGTTGTGTAGATTCAACCCCCAAGTCAAATGATGGTGATTCAAGAGTATACGGTAGAACGAAATCATCAGTTGGGTCCATTTTGCCCTTTCCTTTCGTGTCCACCACATTTGGTTCCACAATTTTCACATGTACACAAAATGAGAGAATGTTTTAAATGTCAAATGCAACTCTTGTCGAAATATGGAAATGTAATGTAACTACCTTCTCCGTCTTATCAGATCCTCTAACAACCAAAGGATTTTTATCTCTAACTCCATGATCACTTTTTTTATGACCAAACAATCTCATAATCTCATCCATAGAACTGGAAATCATTGCTGATGCCATTTCTGACAAAAATTGTATGTTTGTCCTAATCTCCATCAAGTCACTTTTATATTAGATTGCATTTGAACTATGTAATTCATCTTCATCGTTTGCTTAGCATTCACTGATGACATCCGAAACTTAATGTCATCAAGCTGGATTTAACACTTCATTATAAGACTTCAATTCACATATTTGCGACCTCAACTCCTCAAACTCTTGATAAAATAAATAAACTTATTATATGTGACTTGTAACCAAATAGAAATATATATTACACACTGTCAGAATGAATGTGTCACAAGTGACCTGATCTAAACCACATGTGACCTGAAACTATTGGTTTGTGACCAACAATATAATTGTTTTACAACTGACTAAAATAACAACTTACATCACCCCATTGTGCCTCATGAGACTATTGTTCCTGTGAAGAATGATGAGCAGCTGACGGGCATTCTTCAGTTAGGAATTTTCCAATGGGAGATGTCTCCTGCCATCTTGGAGGAGGATCAACAAAATCATCATCATTATTTTTGGGAACACGAGCTTGTTGAACACTGCTCTCTGTTAGCAAGAGCACTGATGGACTTGACTTGCCACTCGTACCATCACGGTCAACTGACTTTTCTATCCTACTCTTATCTCTGTGGCTGTCTCATGAGAAATTTGGTTGAACTGGCTTCTTGTACTGGACACCATTCATGTATAACATGGCCATTTCAGTTTCCTAGGGTTCCAGGTCACAACTCTTAATCTGAGGAACAATATAGATTAGAGAAATGTAATTTCAACAGATAATTACTAAGTACATAATGCTTACTAAAGGTTTACATTAGGATTAGAGAAGCAGTCAAGTACTTTTGACTTGGCAGCGGATTGTTGGTCATCTGCAATCCAGTTCTTGATGCGGGGATGCATCTTTGATATCCGTGTGACCACAACTCTGTCAAGGCTAGAAAAAGTCTTATATATCCACGTTTGAAAGGCTACCAACATACCTCGTAAGCTGTAGTGTAAGTTCCTCCAACTCAACTCATCTTTCAATGCACTCAACGTAATTTCAAATGATAACTTGCCTCACGGAAACTGATTCATTGTAGAGAATTTCTCAACGAGCACGAATAGGAAGTGGTCAACAACCTTTTTATAATATCTGGGAAATAGATATGCAGTGATGAAGTACAGCATCCCAATCATAACAATATCATTATCTAGAAGGGCTTCAACAAAATCGAAGTCGGGCATTTGGCAAGCAGATATGAAAGTAGACTTTACGTCTTCGTGGGTTAAACTATGCACTTGAGAAAAATATTTTGTCTTTAACCGTGATTGTCTACTTTCAAATACTTGTGTACCACTATCCCCAGAACACATCAGCCCCATGACTGAACAAAACTCCGAGATAGAGAATCAGACATATTGCCCTAACATATAAAACCACATTTCTTGGTCGTTCGGGTGATGAACTTGCTGCAGAAGGAAGTAGTGAATCAATTGCGACTGTATAACAATTTCATGACAATCTAAGAAATGGGCAAAACATATGTCCATCAATATAAGTTTCTATCATTGGCTTAACGTTGTTTGAATGGTGGTTATAACACACTTACCTTCTGAGGTTGTAATCTTGCCTAGAAACCAGGTCTCTTCTGGTATTTTGAATTCCTAAACCTACATTAAGTGTAGACACAGTGTTAAATACTTGTATGAAAAATCACACCGATACACACCTTCGAACAAGGTCACAGACATAAATAAAGTCTCATTAAAACTACATATTTATAAAATCTTGGTGGCATTATAGTCACATTATGCAAATTCATAACACATACAGAAGATATCGTGGTCACACATTTATAACACATTCACACAACATAGTCACAGATACGTAACCCATCATGGTCACAGAATCACACATTCCAAAACACAAATTCATAACCTATTACGAAAGCAAAACCCCCAACCCATTCCAATAAGCTCAAAGGCATAACATATTTTTTAATAGTTTATGCAGTCAGGCCAAAAATTCATAACACATTCCCACATCATGATCATAGATAACCCATTCAGAACAATCATGGTCACAGATTCACAATAAAATGGATTGGGAATACATTCCAAAACACAAATTCATAACACATTACAAAAGCAAAACCCCTAACACATTCCGGTCCGATCACAGGCATGACACATTATTATGCATTAAGCCACAGATTCATAACAACCTCGGTCACATATACACATCATGGTCACATGTAGCCTCTTCATGGTTAGAATACAAATTATTCATAATGTTAAAAAGGAAGAATCAATTTCAATGACAAACGGGATTGAATTCAAAAACCCTAACACATTCCAATCACGTATAGAATCGAATAGGGTAACAATCACATTTCTCCAATTGATCTTCAATACATATTACCTAACCATTTTTGTACACATATATATCACTTAGATTAAAAAAATGGGGGGGACGAAATAACCTTCTTCGATAAACTTTTCCACACGGTCACTGCGTGCTTTTTCAATGGGGTTTTTTCTGGGCTCCTCTCATCCTTCCTCTTGCGACTTCTTTGTGGCGACTCTTCAACATTAATCGTCTTTTCTACCCCCCTTCGATTTCGCCATTTTACGTCGCCAACAAAAACTTCAACTGTCGTGAATATGTTCTACCAATAACTAATGGGTTATATAATGAATATAACAATTTTGATGGTAATATAGATACTAGTAAAAATTACAGGCCAAAAATGTAGTAAAAATAACCGGAGTGGGAATGAAGTAACCGGAGATAGTGGGTGCAGTGAAGGAAGAATGAGAGAGAAAACGATTTCGAAAATACTGGAAGTTTGAATTCAGATATTTAACAGAATGTGCCATAATTAAAATAATTACTATTTTGTTATTAATATTAATTATTAAATATTAAAATAATATTTAATTAATAAAACGTGATACTTGAATTATGCTTAAAAAACATTTCTAAAGTTTGCATTGCATACTTCAAAGGCCTGTTTCCATGTAATTTCCACTTTACATTAGGTCCAAATTTTGGGCCAACTAATGAAATTTTCCAGCAATAGCAAACTAACCCATTGGACCAGTTAGGCCCATTTATCATCAAAACCCGCAGGCTGAATTTATCATCATAGCCCTATAGAGATAAATAATGCAGTACCTGATTATTAAAAACGAAGAGGTAGCCTACGTAGGTATTGTTTGACAAAGTTTTTAATATAAAATTTAACAAATTTTGCTAAAATTTTATAAAATATATGGTTGAAAGCTTATAAAAACGATGGATCCTATAATGTAATTATAATTAAGATATATATATATATATATATATATTAAGAAAGAGGAAAAACATTTTATCGCACAAGCACTTGGAAATAGCGTAGAGATTATGATGTATGACTACGAGAATTCTTGAAATTGTAATATTTGTATCGTATATATATATATATATATATATATATATTAAGAAAGAGGAAAAACATTTTATCGCACAAGCACTTGGAAATAGCGTAGAGATTATGATGTATGACTACGAGAATTCTTGAAATTGTAATATTTGTATCGTGCCATCTGATAGACCCCCATTACCATTCCCATTAGCTAACTTCATCTTAAGGATATTCAGAATTAGCAACTTGCATAGAATGCTGTCCACAGTACGTCTTGATACTAATGCTCCTCCAATAATGCTCCTCCAATAACAAATTACCCCTTCAAAATCACATTTTCCCTGTCGAAATTATGATACATTGTGGCTGAAAATTCCAATGGATGTGCTTTTGGTTCTCAAAGGTTTTTTAAACATGGAATACTCTTTATTTTAAAATGTCAATCCGTCAAATTATTGGAGAATAATGATATAATCTAGAGAAAAAAACTAGTTAAAGTAAAGGATAGAAAAAATAATAAATATTTTTGAGTAATAAATTTAAGTGTTAAATATAAAGAGTTTGTTAAAGTACTTCAAAAATTTAACTCACTAAATTTATAGATGCTCTCCTAATAATATTATGCGTTCTTTAAAAATAGTCTCTTAGAAAATAAAATCATACTCCCCCTAAAAAAATATATATTTTTCTTGATTTTGAGAAAAATATAAATATATGACCAAAAGTAAGAAAATATTTTCCATGAAAAGAAAATTTCAACCAATTAATATAAAAGTAAAAATTTGGATGGAAATAACATATTTTCCATGAAAAATATTGACAATCAAACACACCCTAAATGTAAATATAAAGAGCTTGTTAAAGTATTTCAAAATTTAACCTCTAAATTTATAAATGCTCTCCTAATGATAGAATGCACTCTTTAAAAATAGTGTGTCTTGGAGATGTTCTAACCATGTAAATCAAGCTGATCACAAAGAACCATAAAATTCCAAGTTAACCAGCTGTATAAACCAAGGTAGGATGCAAGCATCCAAACAATTTTAAAATGAATCTAACCCAGGCATACTATATTGACTTCTGGTTTCGTACTTTGATTTATTATTAGATCTATACACAATGGCAGAAGCAGAAAATATGTAACCGAGCGAAAACGACAAAAATGTTGGTATTCACAAGATCGTAAAATCGACCTCCTGTTTGTTTTTCATTTATAAGGCATAGCCTGAACTAAGCTATCCACTTGGAGTTCATTGCTTCGAACCATGTTCAACCCCAGGTTCATGTGATTGGGTTGAGGAAGATGATCCTTTTCCAGTCTGGGAGTAAGACCACAATAAGGCCGCAGAACCAACTGTAACCACAGAAGCAATCGATGCCCACACCCATTTCTGTCTTCTCTTCCTCCTTTGCCTAAGTCGTCTTGCTACGTCTACACGAGTCAAATACAGTATGAAATCAGAAAGTTAATTTCTTTCTGATGAGCACAAAATATAAAACCTTGGGAGGCATGCCAAGAAACATTTTTATAGAATAATATGAATGAAAGCAAGAAAAGGATGGTTCTCTAATTGAAGTGAAATAAGCGAAGTTAACAGGGTAAATGAAAGACAATATCTGAGAAATTATACTTCTGTTCATAATCTATCCCTCAGTTTATACCAAATTCAGAATTGATTTTTAGTTCAAACAACAATGGGAGTTAACACCAAGGAATTGCTATTCTTTCTGTTTGGTTTTGTTTTATAAACCTTGAAGCTTCCAACAATATAAAATGCATAGCAACTGGAAGGATATACAGATTCATTACACTGTTAAAGTAAATGCAAGTGTTACTAGCAAAATAGAAAAAGGGTTATGACATCTTTTTAGTACTTTAATAAGCGAAGATGAAATGAAGTTTTCCTACTCAACCATTGTAAGCATCATCAGTAAAATCATAAGACTTAGCAAACAAAGACAAACAAGAAATACAGAGCATTGCGGGGTAGTATAAATATGTTTCTCAACTCAGAGTGTGAAATGTTGTAAGAACAAGAAAATATCAAGTCCATTAATCTACAAATTACCCAGGAAAAAGAATACGAAAACAAGGCTTATTTATTAAGGGGGCAAAAAGCACAGCCACTGTAGCATTATCTACTTCAAGCATCATGTCAAAAATATCATTTGTGTTAACTTGTACAAATGAAACAAAAACGGTTACAAGTACCAATTTATACTATGATAATAGTAATTAATTTTGTACTTGTAGCTTGTCTTTTATTTATTCAACAGCTATCAGGGAACACTGACTGTGTACGCTTACCCAAAAATACAACAAAATGCAAAAGAAAATCCATGTGATATAAGAAAGTTGGAGAATGAGGGGGGGAAAATCTCTATTTTATTGCGTAACTCATTGGAAGAACTCGTACAAAGTACTTGATGAGAATTTCTAAAAAGGAAAGAGAGGTTGAAAGATCGGGATACGACATTAGGTAGTCAGGATGAATCAGAATGAGTAAATTTCGTAATCGTGTATGCATGTTACCTTGGCCTCATGCTAAAAAATATACAATAAAGAAGTGCTTGCAGATCTAAAACCTGAACAATGAAGCAATAATGAACAAAACAAATTAATTTGACATCCTCTCTCTATTGCTTGAAGTTTGTTATTTGCCATTTATAGGCAAAACTAAAGAGGTTTCACCAGACAATGTTTTCGTTCATAGTTATCCATAAGATGTTCCAAAAGAACATACAAAGTTGAAGCAACTTAAATTGGCATGCAAAACCACAACCAGAAGATTGCAAGTTTTTGCTATTTTCTGAGAAAATCTACACATAACGAGAAGGTAAACTCACTACAAAAGGCATAAAGGTTTATAGACCTGACCTACAGCTTCTTGGTTTCTCTGAGACATCTCCCGGTTCGCAGCCTCGTAATAATGTAGCTTATCCCATAAACGAGCAATCTCAGAGTTCTTCAACTCAATTTGAGCTTCCATCTCCATCTCAACCTCAGCCTTTGCAGTCCCCCTCCCAATTAAGTTTGAAACAAAGCGGGCGAGATAGACTTGTTGGCACAGATCTGTTGCAGAATCACCTGGCAGTCCATCCTCTTGCAAAGTAGTTGTGGGGAGCGTCAACCCTGCAAGAGATAACTGGTCCTGGATACTATTCCATTGGCCTCGCATATCATTAAGGATTTCTTCTGATTGCTTCCTCCTCTCTATCTCCATCAGCAAACTCAATCTTATTTCACGCAATTCATTTTCAATATCAGGAATTGAAGACTGTGGGCCACTCTCTGATGACAATTCTGAGCACAAGAAGAAAGTAAGTAATGAAAAACCACTCTTAAGATACTGAAACAATGAGAGTTCATGATGTTCATGATGTTTGTACAAATGTTCATATCACCCCCACCCACTTTTCTCCCTGTCATTTTACGTAGAGACACAGATATTAATTCTCGGGGCAATCCATCAAATGAGTAGACATAAACAAAGCATTTAGATAACAAATGCATGGTGCGTGATCACGTTATCAGAATAATAACCAAATACATGTAAGCATTTACAATTAGGTCTAGACTTATTCAAGAAAGAAAGAAAAATTTGTCTTCACAAAATTAAAAGGTAAATGTGAAGGCAAAAGTACCTTCCCAAGCATCATAAAACTCAGCTGTTGGTGTTATTGAATTCAAAGAGCGCTCTGCTCCACCAACACCCTCACTTTCACTACTGCTCTTAACACTCATCAAGTCCTGGCTATCAAAGAAGTCATCTACCTCACCATCTCGCTGCAAATTAAATCCGACAGACTTTGTCGCGCTATTTTTAACAGTTGAACCATTCGCCAAATCACTGCTTCCATGTTTTCCATCAGACACACCATTCAGATCCTCCTCCCTGGCAGCATTGAGAACAGTTGGTGCATAACTATCATCCACGAAAGAGTCCACAGGTTGCTTATGAATACAGCAATCATCCTTAGCTATGCCTGCAAGCTCCTTTTCAGCATTTTTTCCATCCATAGCTCGTTGGTGAGACACAACATCGTCCTCGGAGAAACACTTCATTAGTCTAGGGCCCCGCCTCTTGTGATTAATGATATAAGGAGATGGAGGGAATGAAGAGGGGGCATCGGGAAGTGGAGTCGACTCTGGAGTGGCATAGAGTGCGGGCGAGATTTGAGTCCAATTGTGTCTTCGATCTAAAAAAGCTGTAGTCGATGAACCATTTGATGTATTGAGCTTTTGATTAGCTGGAACACTAACTCCTCTCTCTAGCTTTGAACTAGGAGCAATGATTCTCTTATCGAGCCTTGAGTCTGGAGTACTATTTCTCCTCTGGAATTTTGGATCAGAAGCATTTCTCACTGGCATCACAGACTTTTCAGTTCCTGGTTCGATTAGCCTGTCCAAAGCTATAGCTGTGGATGTTGGCATGACTTTCCAACATCAAGCAACCTGCATCAAAACTTGATTTTTCATCTTGATTTAAAAGTAAAACATATGACAGATGGAAGAAAAAAAAATAGAGAGAGTAAAGTCTGTTGTAATAGAAATTGAAAAACTTTAATTTCCATATCTTATTATCCACAGAAACAGTGTCTACCGAAGCTCAAAAATCTTCAAATAACTTTGAACAGTCTTTACAAGCTTATTAAACTAAGACTCCCAACTCTCACAATTTTTTCATATTTTCAGAATAAAAAGGGAAAAAAATGTCGTAAAATCAATAAAAACTGGAAAAGCAAAAAAAAAAAAAAAAAGAAAGAAAGAAAGAAAAGCACCCAGGAAATCCAAAAACAAAAAGCAAAAGTCATAAACGATTTAAAAAACCAAAAAAATAAAAATAAAAAATAAATGGTAAGCTACCTGAAGAAGAAGAAGGTAATGAATAAACCCTAGAAAGAGGAGTCGAGGAAAGATCAGAGACGAATTAAAGAGATTCAAAAAATGAACCAATTTTAACGAATTCTTATTCTAAAATGCATAAATATGCTAAGAATAATCATCAATTCACAATTTCTCTGTCTCTCTCATCTCCCCTAGAAGTTTCCCAAACCTTTGGAAGGAAGAAAAAGAGAGCCAGGAACCTTTACCTCTTTGTGTGTCTGTCGATCTTTGGATGCTTTGCTGGCCGTTTCACCGCAAAACACATTTGAAATGTTCCTTGTTTAGCTCACGAGGATAAAGTCTTGTTTGGTTAAGATTAGATGGTTTAGTTATAACCAAATAATTTAATTTTTAAAAGTTTGGACAAACATGCCATTAAGATTTAAATTATGCTAATATAGTTTGATTCCTTGGTGATATCTTTGTTGACATCGTGTGTTGTCAAAATCTGTGTCATTAATTACTTTAGGTGTGTTGAAAAATAAGGGCAAAAATATTAATCACCTCACACAATATCAACCACACTGTGTACATGCAGCCAATATTCTAAAAAGCGTAATGCGTGACAATGCATTAAAGGTTCACTCAAAATATTTGATTAAGGTAGGATTAAAAAATAAATAAATAAATAAGAAATAACAAGAGTTTTTGTAGTTTAGTTTTTTAAACAAAGATCTTTAGTGCAAACATGGAGTTCAAGGATTAGGTACTCAAAGCTACTTCTTGTAGGTAAGGAGTAGAAATTTCGTCTCTTCGTGAATGAAAATGTGGTTTGCAATAGTAAGTGATTTAGCAACATTAAAATGATATGTACATAATGATAAACGATGTTAATTTTGCCCCCATTTGGTCTCAATTTCTATAATTTATTTTTTTTCAGACATATTTTCTCATTAAAATAATTTTGCTCGTAGATTTATAAATTATTTTTTTCTTTTTAACTATACATTCATAAAAAAGAATCACTTTTACAAAATCTATTTTTAAAAAATGTCCACCAAATTGGGAAATTGTTTACAAATGGCCTCATTTATATTGAAACAATGATTTTCTTGTCTAACTCGTTGACATAAATGGAAGGGTTGAGGCTAGCTAAGATATGTAGTGTGCTAAGATAATTGCTGTAAAGAAAACTAGATAGTTCTTCAAATTTGTCATTTTGTTTTTACAAGTTTTTTGAAATTTACATTCGAAAATCTGAATTGAGTATTTGTTGAATTTTATAATCTGGAACAATAATTTTTTCCCCATTTTGATGTATGTCGAATTTGTGTAGTTTGAGGCGAATACCGGGTATATAAGTAGTTATTTCATATCCAAAGATTAATCATACTTTGACAACTTCACATAAGGCAGAGTTTGGTGTTTTTAGAGTGATAGTGGAAAAGTTAACAGATAAGTCATCATTACTGTCACTCCACAGAATTGTACAACATTTTTTTTCCCCATTTTGATACATGTCGAATTTCTGTAGTTTGAATTGAAAAATATTTTTTGTTGAACAAATTATCGAACTCGACATGTGTCGAACAAATTACTGATGAGCATAAGAACGAGCCATACAAATATACAATATAATTTTGGAGAACCAAAGATGCAATTTTCTTTTATTTATGTGGCCTTGAAGAAATCAGGACAAAAGTTTGATGGCCCTTGAAGAAAGTAACACATATAATACATGAATACGGCATCCACAATTAACAAAATGGTCGAACACGGAATGAAATATGATGCTCCATTCATTCAATTGACTTGGATTCAGCATATTATCTGTTAGGGAAAAGAAAGGGCCAGGGAGCATGCGCAAAGAAGAGATTTCACTGGGAGAACATGGAAATTATGATACAGATGCTTTGGATGCAAAATACAATGAAATAAATAGTGGTCACATGTGTGAGATAAAATTCAGGACTTCGTCTTTCTCTTTAGCAATGTGGGGTCTATCATTTCCGTTACATCTCTTCTGATGGGGCTCCAAACATTGGACACGTGGTATTCAGTTAACAAACTAACTCAAGTCAACACTCCACATCACTATCCTACATGACCTAGTCAAGACCATCAAACATGATAATCGAAGTGATGCCATCACCTCAGGGCGTCTTGTAGAAGCGAACCCTCCACGGTTGAAGCAAGATGCAACGATCTGTTGCAGCTCATTTTCGAAGTGATTAGCCCTTGAACCCACAAAGACATCTTTTTACCCCGCCTCTCACAAAAGATCTTCTATACAAGATTTTCTGTGAGTTGATTGATGTGACCTCTACAGTAGATGTATCTCAGTCAATTTATCAATCTACTTTTCAGGTGTCAAACTTACAAACAAGACTATAGAAGCAACAGCTAGGAGAATACATATCAACCGTTAAGGTGGGGTATATGTCTTCCAGACAACGATAACCACTTCACTTCCTCTACTATATATATAGCAAAATACGTGTAAAGGATATTAGAATGTATTGCAAGATGGGTTTCTCTTGAAAGAGGGTGCACGATCTCTTCATTGAGATGCATTGGCAAAGAAACATTGCACGTACTTAGGAAAATTCATAACTATAATTGCGAAAATCATGTTAGCAAACATTTTCTAGCACGAAAGTCACTAATGCAAGGATTTTATAGGCCAACCATGAGAAAATATGCCATAGAATTTGCTAAAAAATGTGAAAAATGTCAAAAGTCTATAGCTATACTTCGCCAACAATCACAAAAGTTAACCACCATTACTAGTCCATAGCCTTTTGCAAATTAGGAAGTTAACTTCGTAGTACCTTCATCCGTAGGTAAATCTAAACTGAGGTTCATGATCGTTACAATAGTTTACTTTGCCAAATGTGTAAAAGCAAAACCTTTCGCCACGATTATCGAGGCTAGTACCTAAAAGTTCGCATGGAAAAATATATTTATCAATTTAAAATCCGAATTCTACTGTGTCATACAATGGTTCACAATTTTAGGGGAAAAAATCTAAAAGCTATGTGCGAAGAGTTAAGAATCCATCGATATTTTTCCACCTCATCTATTCTCAAGTTAACGAATAAGTGGAGGTAGTAAACAAAACTTTAAAAAGCATCATGAAAAGGAAACTCAATTGTTATAAATTTTATGGCCATTTTGCATTACCACAAGGACTAGCACAAGGAAAACTCCTTTTTCATTGACTTATGGAGTCGAGGCCATTATACTAGCTTAGGGATACCAAGAAAGTTAAACTTCAATGAAGAACTGATAAGTGTATTTTGTAAACTTATTTAGATCTAAAGATTAAACATTTAATAATTATTTTGAATAATTATAACCAAATTTATTATCTAATGTGTTGTTAGGTGAAATTCGATGAATGGAAGTGGAATTGAAAGAAAGAAGCGAAAATTGGCAACAACAAAAAAAGGATAAGATCCAGTGTTTGGAGACAAAGTGTAAATATTCAAAACTTGTGTCGAAACTCACGATGAAAATTTGAGAAAGCTAGGGTTCAAGTAGATGCAATTAGAAGTCAAAAGGAATGAAGTATGAACAAATCAATATTCAACCACAGACGAATGTTCTAGATTTTTAGCTGGAGATTAAAGCCTATTTTTGACCTAGTAAACATTCTAATTGGATAAAGGCTATTCCGAGTAAAGTTGTATCCTTTGAGTTAACTTTCCAATGCATATTGAATCCTCTCAATACAACTTTTTGACACTTTTGAAGGGGAATCCACGCATTGAGAGATAGATAACACAATTTGAAAAATAGAGAGCAAATTCAAGATGAGAAAAACAGCAATTCAAAGGGTTTGAAGTGAAGATTTGAAACGAGAAGAAGAACTTGGTGCAAAATTCATTATCTTTTCTACATCTCAATTCAAAATTCAGTGATGTACTCAATGCAATTTTTTAGTTTTTCTTCCATTATCATGAGTGGCTAAATTAATATTATGGAGAACAATGTAATCTTTTGAGACTCTTTATTTTTTTTATTCAATATTCAAGTTCTTTAAATGCATATGTGTTGATTTTAATTATGAATTTGATGCTTTGAATTCTTTATCCAATTATTCAATGATTTCGTGAATCTATTACGAATCGAGGATGAGTTTTAGATTTAGACCACATATTAAAATTCGATAAATTAATATAACATGTAGAAATATCTATACTAATTATTCCGATTGTTGTATGAATTCTTAGAACTAGAATTTCATTTAACTAAAGTTATTTGCATTGAGATATGAAATTGAATTATTTAAATAAGTTCAATGAGAACTCGAGAGGTGTAAATTGAATAAAATAGTAGAATTCGATCGAACACTACATTAGATGTAAATCTTAAATTGAGATTTAAAAGTGATCAGATTAAATTGTTCTGCTCTAACGTCCGTTCATTATTTAAATTCTAAATTAATCTTTGTGTGCATTTACACATTTTCAAATAGTTATATTAAAAATCACATCTACTTATTTGTTTGTTTTCAATCAAATTAAAGCTAGGAATAATTAAACCAATTGTTAAATAGTAGTTGTTGTGGGAACGAAATTCGGACTCTTAGATCTACTTTATTACTTAGTACTATACGTACGTTTGTAAGGTATAAAATAGACAACGAGTTTTTGGCGCCGTTACTGGAGACTATTTTTATTTAGTATTGGTTTTAATTATTTCTTGCTTTTGTTTGATCTTTTTTTTATTTTTTTCTTTTTTCAATTGATCTTTTTTTTTTTTTTTTGCTCCATTTATAGGGAATGAAAAAAAAAAAGCAAGAAGTCAAAAAAAATTCACAATGATTGATCTCGACTTAATGAAGGTAACACGCTCTTTGGAGAAAGACAAGAATTTAAAAGGTGGGGATACAATCAACCTATTGAATTTGACAAGGATGGTTTCCCGAAAGGACTAAATATCAAATATATTGTTTATGGAAAATTTAGACCGACTTGTGAATATTGTGGTGCATTCTATTATACTAAAAATTGCTTGTTATTGGCAACTCCAGTGGAAGTGAGAAAAGATATCTTGGATTATCCATATGAAGAACAATTTGATTACAGTGAAATAATTAAGGGAGACGTCATCATGAAAAAAGATAAAAGGATTGAAAATCAAATAATTTCGAACAAGCCAAGTAACATGCTAATGGATGAGAAGATTCATTATTCAACCCAAGGAACCAACTAAAGAAGAAGATGTAAAAACAAATAAATTAATCACCAAGGAG